TCACACCAGGATCACGGAAGCTACAGACCCTCCATTCTCCACCAGTGGTAGCAATGGTGAAAGTTATAGCACACTCAAGGCACAGATTTATTTATATTCACCACTGTATCAAAATGACAGCAGTAGAAATACCCGTACCCCATCTACACTATAGCTTATATTTTTGCTACCACCAGAGGTAAATATAGCCTGAATTTTCCTCGTGTAGATGCACCCTAAGATATTATCTTTCACAAATGCTATGGCTAGACGTACCTTTTAAAACTCTTACAGGGCCTCCTCTGCACAGCTAAGCTCATCTGCAAAAGGTGCAACCCCAATACATGCCGATGCTCATAGAGGCCCGTTTAATATCAGAATCAGGCCTTTAAGGCTTGATCAACCCCAAGTCACCCATGGTGACTTGATGGGCATCAAGGTCACGTTCCAAAGACTTTGATATTAGGGTTGCTGCTGGATAACGATAGGGAAATCCATACTCATCCATGACCTTCTTCCTGGCCAAGCTTCAAACAGGACAGGCGTAAGGTCACAGAGTCAGAAACTGCACTAGTTCTGCTGGGCTTTACTGATGTTTTCCTCGCCTGGTTTAAAAGGGAAAGATTTCACTCAGACCAAGGTGGAAAGAGTAGCGTGAAGCTGAGGGGGCAGCTCGCCCCTGATCATGTCAGTGAGAAGGAAAGAGGGGGGCACATGGAGGTTACTTTGGTTCTGCAAGGCTCCAGCGGTGCCAGCTCTATCCCCTCTGTGACCTTAGCTCCGGCTATAAATGGGGGTGGGGGAGGGGAGCATGCCATGCCACACTGACCCCTTGGCCTGGATGCCTGTAAGGAAACATGCTTTCCAGCACCTCCTACAAGAGAATGGGTCCAGTCACATCACCAAGAGCCTGTTCCCAGCATGCAGCACTGGGATGCTTTAATACCCCCAACCTCCTGCCCTGAGGTGGAAAAGTCACAATCTTCCATCCATCCTGCCTCCTCCCCCCCCAGAAAACCACAATGTCTCCGGTGACCCCGGGCCAGGGAAGGATCCATAATGACCCCTACAGCTCATCCCTCCCAGCTCCAACTCAAGGAGCATAACCCAAATGCCCCCGCCCCTCCAAAGCCCCACACTACAACCCTCAGCACAACCCCTTGGATGGGGTGGAGGTGCTGCCTCACCTGCCCCTCCAGATACATCCTCCACAGCCCCACATTCCCATATGACAGCCCCCCATTAACATTCAGGGGTGAAGGGGATGGTCCACCTGCCCCCCCATCCCAGGCAGAGGGGATGCCCCCCTCATTATGCAGCCTCCGCACCAACACCCAAGGGAGCAGGGTCACCCCACCTACCCTCCAACACCATTTGACCGCCCCACCCAAGGGGGAGCAGATGCCGTATCTGCCACCCACCGCAATTCCCTTCCAGCCACATATGCCCCCCTACATGTGGGAAATGCCCCAATCCCCCCAGGAGATGTGAGGGGAAGAGCCCCCCCAGGGGACGTGAGGGGAAGAGCCCCCCCATATTTGCCCCCCCAGGAGACGTGAGGGGAAGAGCCCCCCCATATTTGCCCTCCCAGGAGACGTGAGGGGAAGAGCCCCCCCATATTTGTCCCCCCAGGGGACGTGAAGGGAAGAGCCCCCCCCAGGAGACGTGAGGGGAAGAGCCCCCCCATATTTGCCCCCCTCAGGAGACGTGAGGGGAAGAGCCCCCCCAGGGGATGTGAGGGGAAGAGCCCCCCCAGGGGATGTGAGGGGAAGAGCCCCCCCATATTTGCCCCCCCAGGAGACGTGAAGTAGCCCCCATGCTCCACCCGCCCCCAGTAGGGGTCGGGGTCCCCCAGTCGCCCCCCCCCCGGGAAGGGGCTACTGCCCCCGCGTCACTCACCGGCTGCGGGTCCCTCCCCGCCGCTCCCTCCTCCCCGCCGAGCGGGCCGGGGCTGCAGGGCGAGGCCCGGGCTCCCGGGCGGTTCCGCGCCAGGGGGAGCGGGGGGGAGGGTCCGGCCGGGCGGAGCGGGGCGGAGGCGGCTCGGCGCTCTCGGGCTCTAACCGGACACACCCGCCCCGGCTCCGCTCCGCGATAACAATGGGGCTGCCGGCGCAGCGCCTCCCCTTATATAGCCCGGAGCACGTGACTTCTCCCCCGCCCGGGCGCGGGGCAGCTTGGGAAATAGAGTCCTGACAGCCCGGCCTGCGCACTGGCCGCTGGGAAAAGGAGTCCGGAAGGAGGGGCTTGCTGGGAGTTGTAGTCGGAGGCCTAGCCCCCAGAGCAGCGTGGCTAAGGGTGCGAGGGAGAAGCTCTCGCAGCTGCAAAAGGAAAATCAGGCCCTGGGAAGAAGCATGGGAGGAATATAGTAGTGCAGGTTAAAAACCGAGCAAGGGTGCAGGGGAGTGGGTGGAGAGATGCATTTTGTAAAAGAGCCACCACTGCTTTTTGCCTTGTGCTAGTAGAGCCGTTAGAGGAAGACAGTCAGGCTTTTCTCTAGCTGCTCCACAGCTAGGAGCGTTTGGGTTTTTTTTTGTTTTATTAAAGCAAGACGCATACGCTTTTTAAAAAGTAAACTGTCACCTTCATAACACACAGAACTGCAGCTTTAACATCACATAGTGTGACAGCAACAGAGAACAGGGCATAGGGCGGAATAAGGTGAAGCTTTTGCTCTTCCACAAATTTAAGGTATCAAGAGTGCAGGCAACAACCGAGGAATCCGGGCAAAAACCAGCCCACCAAACATACACTGCCCCTCCACCCCCAAAATCCACTATCTGCTTTGTGTCCCCGAGTACCTATCTTCTGTACAACACAGCTCTTTGCCTGCCTGCAGCTACAGCTGAAAGGAACAAGGCTGGGGTGAGCTCTAGTATTGCAAAATGAATTCGCTTTAGGGCAAAAGTTAGCTTCACTTTAATATTACTCACCCTTCAATTACAAAGCGTACAAATGTTAAGTAATGTAATATCCTGGATCACCACTGGATGGAGTGTGTGCAATAAAGATGCATTTAGCAGAAGGGTCCTTGGAGCCTCTGTGCATTTTCAATCATTGAGGTCTCCAGGATGGAAACGATTCTCTCATTCTCCCATGTACAGCGATCGCCAAGCCTTACAGATCATTAAACACAATCTTTACAGTTTAAACCCCAAGGCAATCATGAACCAGTTACAAAAAGAAACAAGAATTGAGAAGCAACAGCTGGATTAGCTAGATCTAAGGAAGAGAAAGTTAACATTCAAACGGTAACTCCACAAATCTTTTAAGTGTAAACTCCACAGTGATGATGGAATCAGCCCGCCCCTTGAAGAGTTCTAACAAGACCAGCAAAAATCAACTTAGAAAGACGATAAGAGGACCCCCATTAACAAATCCCCAGATCGGCACTTACACTAAGATAAGCCGCCACCATATGTTATCAACAGAACTTCAGGTTGAATTGTTAGTAAGGGTAGTAATGGGATAAATGCAATCTCTGCAGTGAAGAAGCCCAACTGCTGAGCTCTGGGTGTAAACAGCTCCAGATGGAAGAAATAAGGTGGCCAGAAGTGGAATTACAGAGGAGTCTAGACAAGAGATTAGAAAGGCCAGAACCAGCCGGAATAAGCAAAAGCACCTTATTTTAGAAATAGTGAGCAGCTGCAGCCTGATGTAGGGGGTCAAAGGGCAACTGAGTCAAAAAGCAGTTGGAGAATCTAAGCCCCAGACTAGTTAAAAAAATCAAGAAAGAATCAGTTTATGAGTACAGGTTTCAGAGTAGCAGCCGTGTTAGTCTGTATCCGCAAAAAGAACAGGAGTACTTGTGGCACCTTAGAGACTAATGCATCCGATGAAGTGGGCTGTAGCCCACCAACGCTTATGCTCAAATAAATTTGTTAGTCTCTAAGGCCTGGTCTACACTACGACTTTAATTCGGATTTAGCTGCGTTAATCCGAATTAATCCTTAACCCGTCCACACAACGGAGCCAGTTACTTCGAATTAAAGGGCGCTTAAAATCGATTTCTGTACTCCACCCCGACGAGCGGAGTAGCACCAAAATCGATTTTGTAAATTCGAATTAGGGGTAGTGTGGCCGCACACCACCGAACTAATGTGGTTAAAAACCGAATTAATGTGCTTAGTGTGGCCGCGCACAATCGAATTTATACAATCTGTTTTCCAAATTCGAATTATCTAAATTCGAATTAATCTCGTAGTGTAGACGTACCCTAAGGTGCCACAAGTACTCCTGTTCTTTTTATGAGTACAGAAAGCTTTCCAGCAGATTCCAATTCTCACATTAAATTCAGTTTCTTTTCAATCCACTATACAGCTTTATATGGGGCAAGTTTCAATTACTGGTCATTCACTTAACATCTACTGTATTCTCTCACTGGGGATCCTGTTTCTAGCTCTGCTTGTTAAGTACACTTAAGGGCTACTAATTCATGCTCTTAAAAGGGCAGGCAGAAAGACAACATGCAGCACTGTTTTCCATCCAGTAGGAATCTGAGAGGTGCTGTATGAAAACTTTTCACAATATAACATGAAGTGCATTGGATGGACAGTGTCAAATTAGACAGGACCCAGAAGGCAAGCAAGAGCCCAGTTTCAATGAAGGAATTCTCTACACAGCCTGCCACCAGCTTTTTCCACATATTCAATAACTTTGTCACTTACCTCGATCAGCTGATGATGGGAATGGAACCCACCAAAATTTTTTTGCTCTAAAAATCCAAGTTTGGGTATCAATTCAAATGGAGAGTTTTCATCTTCATTAAATTAGCTAATAAGGAAGTCAAGTGATTTCTTTAGTGAAGCTGTTTAGGCAAAGAAGCAGTTGATCAAGAGGATTTCTATTTCCCCTTTATTTTAATCTTTTATTTCCAGTACTGGCCATTAAGTTTCAGGGGGAGGAGAGGTGAACCTCTGGCTGTTCTGCCCTCTGACCCTTCTCTGAGGGACTGTTTAACAAGCTGTTGTAGATAGACAACACAGACGCACAAGTTTATGTTTTCAAACAATGGATTCATTAAGAATCTGTACGCACCCAGAAACATGGATACAAAATATTCAATGTCTGTCACTATTGTACATTTTCTATTACGCCTCTTGCATACTGAGAACCCGGCCCCCCCAGATTAAAATACAGGTATCTTCCCAATCTATCACTGATGTAGTACAATAGATACAAAAGGCCAGCTGCCAAAAGAATAGCACCTCTGTATGCAGAGTTCATAATCCTGTCAATTCATCAGTAGCGCACACCGTTCTTCAGCAGGGAAAGCAGGTGAAATCGCTCCAGCTTTTTCTAAGATTTTCTTGGCATCTTTAGCCCCATCGATTTAAGTGGCCGAGGCCTCCACGTTTATTAGGCAAAGATCCATGACAGAACAAAGAGCCGCAGCAATTTCAGAGTGTTTAGCTCTAAGTTCAAGATTCAAACATGACAACTGTTATGACACAAGCCATCAAAAAGCCAGGTAGAGGAACAACGCAGGTTGCTGCCCACAAATCAGGCCGTGATACAAAGGGGCTTTCAGAGAGTCCTTTTAAGCAAAACCCAGGAAAAAACAACTGCTTTGGCATTGAAGTGAATTCAGCCCTGGGTGACAAAACTGGATAGAAGAGGCTGTCCCGAAGTCCTCTATTTATCCCCAGAACAGGTACAAAACAGCAAGCGGCACGGCATGTTCGCACATTGTCCTGCAAAACGTTACTCACCATCAACCCGGAGGGGCTATTTCTGGCTCAGTCTCTATGGCTCACTCAGTTCTTCGCCAACAATGCCAATGATATGGCATTGACAGGTCTTTGCTAGGAAATGTGGGGGGCAAGGGGGGACAAGGACTTCCAGCATCTTTCACACAGGGGCTACCAAGCAGCCATCAAATGGCCAACAACTCTTGCGCGATCGCTGAGTTGTTTCATTATTTCCAATCCAGTCTAGAGGTGAAAGGCTCTCAGACGCATCACTAAATAGCATCTACAGAAGCCATCATCGTCAGAGGGAAGGGGGGATTGGAACAGATACATAATGATTGCCATCTTTAGGGCTTTCCAATGAATTGGAGGCAGAGGGGAGTTCATACAGGTCTTCTTAGGGTTATAAGAGGAGCAGTCAGTATCTTACCAGCTGTTTAGAACTATGGAGATATGATTGTCAGACTGTCGCATACGCAGCATTACTCCCCGCCCCAGCTAGGCCTTTCCTGGTCCAACTCAGAACCTGGCATTTCCTGCCTTGTGTTGGTTAATGTCACAACCTAATCATTTGAACACATCTGCTTTGTATTATGTTTCTTGTAAAAATATTTCATGTATGTTTATAAAAACCATCTGTTTACCCAAGAACCTGACATTCTGGGCAAATATAAATCCAGGCCTCACTTTATTATAAGATGCTTTTTATTTAGAACATCTTATTTCAAGCTATAATAGGTGCTCTCACAAAGAGGGGCATGTGCTCAGGCATCTGTTTTAGGAAGCCGATTTTTTTTTTTTTTTAAAACACCCAAGAGACCCAACGGCTGCTGTCCTGGAAATCTGTATCTAGGCCCTTTTGTCGCCATGGCGTTTTCAGTAGCTTAAAGCACAGCCTGCAGGCTCTTGCTCTGTCAATGTTTTTCAGTGCTGGTCCCATACTGTTTCAGCTCCGAAAGTGAGTTTCAGGCCAATGAGACATAAAAAAGTCAACATGCCAATAAAGTGTCACCCAAGTTTACAATGAAGGTACAGCAGAAGTTTATCACTTCCCCTCCACCTCAAAGATCAAGAATTTTAGTTCCTTTTTAATAAAAAAAAATCATACAGGAAACAGACCATATCATCAGTTAGCTAATTCATCATCAAATTTCATTTTTTTTTTCCAAAGTCACGTGAGCTTTGAGAGTAAAGCCATGTTTGTCCATATAGACAGTGACCTTATAAATCCATGAGAATGGAGTTAGTTCCTGAAGGTCTTGACACGGACATGGAGGACAGAACTACAATCAATCTCTTTCTCACACGCACACGCAGGAACTAAACCAACAAGGATTGGGAGAATGAGAATAACGCCTTCACAATGCAGCTGTCCGACAATGTCAAAGAGAAGCTTAAAAAAATAATGCTTCCTCCCCCCAGTTCCATCAGTGCAGTTGGAAGGTTTATTTTGGGGGGCGGGGTGTTTGAGAGGTTGCTGTGTAGGCCAGAGAGGTTGCTGGGTTGAGTTATTAGAATAGATGTTCACTTGCAAGTCTCCAGCACAATCACAGGAGCCAACTCCTCTCAAAATGTAACACACTTATCACTAAACCCATACGCAGGTCCCAAGACACAAAGGCAAGTTTCTATCAATAGCGAAGGACAACACAACCTGGCAAGTTTAGCCTCACATCTGCAACTACTTCCATTTCAAACTCCAGAGGTTAAGCAGTGCGCTATCATCATCATCAGCAGGCTGCATGCCAGAAGAGCTACGGGGGGGGTGGGGTGGGTCACCTGCCAGAAGGTACCGCGCAGTAACAACAAAGACCGGGATCTTTACAGAAGCCTCCCATGAATTTCTGATCTCTGCTGGCATCCTTGTGCAATAGGCGATGGGTCTTTGTGTGTGATGAGAGGTGGCTACGGGCTCTCTCCTAGTCCAGTTCCCTCTTATTTTAAGATGATGTGGTAGCTATCATTGGTTTCAGCTGCAAAGAAAGCAGAGCGGCGTCAGACATCTCCAGCCACAAGGAAAGCAGCTTTCAATTTCAATTCAACATGCCTCTTTCTAGAGAAGAGTTCTCAAGACTGCCAAACAAGTGGTTTGGGGGGGGGGGGGGGGGAGAGGAGAAAGGAAATCGAAGAGGAGAGGGGAGCACCCAACTGTTTTATAAAGGCACATTGAATGCATTCAGTTACCTTTCATTGTGTCCAGAACAAAACACGATTCGTCTTGGAAGTTCTGAATCATCTGAAAGAAGGCATGAGATCAGTTGAATCCATTAGGGAGTGTTTACGTTTAGGACTGAGGCTCAATTTCATATATGTATTAGTCATTCAATGGTGGGGTTAGGCCCGGCCCCTTGAAAGAGCTGGAAGCGATTCAGCCACTACAGTGCTTTGGGGTGTATAGAATGCACCACCTGGAATTATTATACCCAGAGCGGGGGGTGGGTGGGGGGTGGGTATCTGAAATACAGCAGAACCAAACCAGCCAATGAAACAAGAGAACAGATATTGAAGCCCCTTCCCAATTCCTCAAATATGAGAGAGAACGAACGAGAAAGCATGCACATATCAGGGTGACTGGCCCCTTAAGAAAAAAAGATAGGCCCCCCATCTTAACTTGCCTCCCCAGCTGTGGAAAAAGCCTACGCAGAAGCCTAAGGAACTGCAGTCAGCACTCCCACTAGAGCTCCCTTCCCTCCCCAGGGACCAGCAGTGCCTCACCGAGTCCCACGTCCCACAGTGGGACTCGGTAAGGAGGCGAGACAAGCTGGTCGCAGATGGACTGAGGCTCATCTCCCCTTAAGGGGCTGGCCACCCTGTGACAGTCTGGTTATAATTAAGTGTTAGTGGCAATATTGTTACATGCTGGATGGGCAGCGTTTGCTCAGGGCGTTTGCATTTATTTTTAGATTCAAGGCAGAAGTTCTGTTTCCTGCGCCACATCCTTGAAGTCAAGTCCCAGTAGCCCGCATAGAGGCTATTAGTAAAAGCTTCGTTCGCCTTTCTAGAGACCTCTCTGCAACCTTCATGGCAGGAGTCGCAGCACCTACCCCACCGGTTTGTGCCAGTACTAGATGAGTGGGCTGAGCAGGCCGCAAGCCCAACTGGGAGGCTGGACTTCTCACTTCCCTTCTTCTAAAGCGGACTTGACGCTGGCCACACACATGCTGCAGCTAACCGCCCCTCCTAGCGATTCAGTTGCACTGGACAGTGAGGGTTATATGGATCCCACAGGCGTTAGAGAGACCTAGGAGATCATCCAGGACTTTGCCCATAGACAGGATGGGCCAGGTATTAGGTGGATACTTCACTGTGGGCCTGGTTCTCATTTACATCAAGGCTCCTTCCCAGCTCTCTAGCAATGTAAAGGTGCCCAACTTCACACGAAGACTCAGGCCCCCTGCACACAAAGCGATCTGGGAAACCCACTCGAAATGAGTGATTCCAGCTTTCCCTTTAAAACAGGCAACATTGGGTGGATCAGATCTTAAGTGCCATGGCCTAAGCACAGACCTGGGAGCCTGGATTCCCTCCAGGGCCTTATTTGGGCCCCAACACCAATTCTGTGGCCTTGGGCACAGTTTTGGCATCTGTAAAATGGGGATAAATGAGGGTGGGGGGTTCAGGATTAATGCTTTGAAACTGAGGAACGCAAGAAGTATTACAGGTGAGAGCACAAATGCAATTGTAAAATCTAGCCCGTTGGGCTCTGCAGACAGGTACGTAGGGCCCCTAAGCTGTTTACCTGCAAAGGGCCAATATTCAAACCACTCCTGTCCATTTGCAATCCTTAGCACGTTTCCCCATGTCAGAGATCATAGAACCAGACCAGGTTGGCAACAGACTGAAAGGAGCTGAGCCACCATGACTCGAAGATCCCTCCAGGCTAAGTGCCAAGAGGCACTTACCTCATCGCTGATCAGTACGTGTATCCCTGTAGGGCCTTGTTTGTAGATATGGCTGATCTGTCGAGAGGAGATACTGAACAGCTGGGCTATTTTTTCTGTCAGTTCCACTGCTGTCAGCTCTTCCAGATAGATAGCGTGATATACTGCAACAGGGACAAGAGCGGTTACAATTAGCTTCCCAAGCATCTATTGTGAGCGTGTCTGAGCTGCCTGAATACTGTCAATATTATGGTAGTGCTTAGGCACCCCAGTCACGGATCACGGCCCCACTGCTGTATAAACAGAACGGAATGACCCTCCCATCTCAGTAATGGTGGCCAAACGTGACTCCGCACCATTCCCGGCTATTTCCACTCGGCCAAAAGAAATCGAATTGCGACTGACGAGTCCCCTTGGAATACCAATGCCATCGCCTTGGAGGGGACACGGGGAAGCATGCGGGTTACGGAGTCGTAACAAGACGGAAGGACAGAGCCCACTGGCTTTGCGGCTTCCTCCCAGAATGCCGAAAGTGGATGTGCTCGCATCAAGCCGCTCCAGAAAAGTAGGTCAGTCAGTGCGTCTAGGCCATGCTGGATTCTCACACGAGCCATAATTTATCAGCCCAGTGCAGGCACCGTGCCAACCATGAGATGCCGCAGCCACAGTTTTGATTGGGGAGGAGAAAACCAGCAGGCTGGAATGATGGCAGGTCAACACAGAGCCCTCCTTCTAACCCCACTCAACCTTCCCCCAAATGCTGTGTGTGGGAGCCAACAGCCCTCCTGCCTTCATGCTGATGCTGGGTTATCTTCCAGGGAAGCCTTCCACCTTCTGGCAGCAAAAAAGCGAGAATGATAGGGGCTAGCATAAGCAAGGGCAGCCGAAAATGGAGGCAAGCTTGCATAAAATTCCTGTATGCCTCTATGTGAGATTACGTGCATTATGGTAATGACTAGAGGCACCAGCTGAGACTGAAGTCCCATTTTACTGGGCACTGTACACATATTGAGAGAATATCAAGCCCTAAAGAGCTTAAAATAGACAGAAACAGTGTCAGCAGGGAAGTGACTTGCCCAAAGTGGAAGAGCCAGGATTAGAACTCAGATCATCGGAGTCCCTGTCCCGTTCTCTATCCACTGCACCATGTTGCTTCTCCTCTGAGATGACTGATATCCTACTTGCTGCTTTTGTAAAGATCCCACAGCACTAAGCCATAACTGCAGCACGTGAGGGGAGAAAGCACGTCACCCCTTCTGGAAACTCTTACCAAAGAAAGTACTGTTTGCCGGCTCCCCATCCTCATGCTTCTGCTGGTCCCTCAGCGGCTGAGGCTCCTGGCACACGTAGATGGTCAGCCTTGGCCGTACCATCCTGCGGGAGGGAGGGCGTAACAGGTGAATACCACTGAGTTTACCGTGAGCATGTTTCCAGTTTCCCTGATGCTCAGGTCCCACGCTCCACTTTTCAGGCTCCTTGATGCAGAAGACCAGACACACAGGCCTGTCTTCAGGCAGAAACAAGAGGGAGATCACAGCAAGTTTTGTTTCATGGAGACAACACAAAAAAAGGAGGGGGGGGGAGGAATCAGGCAGCATTCAGACTCCTGGCCAATTAAGGGCCGTGAGGACTGGCTGCCAAGTGTCCCATTCAGCCCTCTTAAGTGGGATTAATAGCAGCTGGGAGTGGATGGGCTGGGGTTTAAAGCAGGGAGACCCTAGGCTGCGGCAAGAGTAGTGGATAACACTGGAATAGGAAACAGATGAAGCTTGTCACAGCAATTTCTGAATTGAGTCAGCTAGGAGGTGACTAATGTCTGCTCCCCCACCCCCATGCAAAGCTGCGACAACGTTTCAGTGCTATCTCACCAGTCATCCGACTTGGTACATTAACTCCCTGGAATGCTCACACGAGCACCGACTCTTGCCGTCCCTTATCAGAAATCCATGCTCTCCCAAAACACACCCCGATATTGGTACACCACCTGTGGCTCTGTGCTTCTCTGTCTGGTTGCAATTCCTGCAACAGTTTCTCCACTAGCTGATCCTCCATCTCGGGCAAAGGGTGATTGGAACTGCAAGCTAGTCCCAGAGGCTTCACGTGGAGATGCAAGGAAAGCTCCCTAATGGAGGAACTTGCCCACAAGGGACGTTTCTTTCTACCCCCGTCACCTGAGGCCAGATTTTGCGACTGTCCAGCACTAATGATCCGGTCCAGATTTTCAAGAGAGCTCAGCTCTTATTCACGCACCTCAACAAAGATCTGGATTCTCAGAATCGCTCAGCACCCAATATGCAGAGCTCTTGAAAATCTGGACCCTTATTGGTTGGGCTGAGGCCCTAAAAATATGACGAAGTGTTTCTTAGGGCTGGTTTACACTACCACATAAGTTGATGTAACTTACGTCGCTCAGGGCTATGAAAAAAAGACACCCCCAAGCCACACACATTACATCGACCTAAGCGCTGTCCACACCAGCACTATGTCGGCGGGAGAGGCTGTCCTGCCGATATAGCTTACGTCTTTCGTGGAGGTGGAGTAGTTATGCCAACAGGAGCACGCTCTTCTGTCGGCCTAGTGCATCTCCACCAGCCGTGCTACAGCGGCATAGTAGTGTAGATATGCCCTTAGAAGCATCTAATCCTCTTCTGAACCCTGCTACGCTCTTGCCCTCGATGGTATTTTGAGGCAGAGTTTTCCAGGAGTTAATTTTCCAAAATGTATAACTATTTTCCTTTAGCGATTATGCATTTGTTGCTTTACAATGTCACTGAATGCCCTCAAGTTTTTGTGTTGCAAGGAGGGATAAACAGAAGCATCCAGTTTAGCTTCTTTACCCCATATGTTTTACCCACCTTGCGTCCCCTTGTCGTCCTCTCTTAACAAAACCCAACCTTTCCTCACCTGCAAGTGACCCTTCTAATCATTTTCACTGTGTCTCTGGACCCCTTCTATTTTTGTTCTATCCATGGCAGACAGCTCAATGATATCCCCAAACTGATGCAAAGAACTCATCGAATTCCTCTGGAACACTGTCATCCTTCCTAATCCTTTCCTTCCCACTCATCCAGATGACCTACCAATTTTCTTGCAGGCTTCCTCCTTCCGCCACAAGAAATTCACAAGTGCCTAGATCTGAATTCTGGACCTTCTAAGCTCCAAAGCATCAGCAGCAACTTAAATTTGGCTTTCGAGCTGTATGGTCTTCGCTTTTTCTGAACTGGATTATCACTCTAAGGTGTGACGAAGTGGGGGATTTTCTTGTTTTTTCCTTGTTTTTCAAATGGTTTGCATGCCGAGGGAGTGGGACTCAGTTTCCCTGGGTGTTACTGGTTTAACGAGGTGAGGGGAGAGGGAGTTTGTGGTTACAGAGGACCGGAGAGGGAACTTGGGACCCCAGCCAATGGCCTGGAGGACGGATACCTCAGCGACTGGTGACCTGATGACCTGGTGACCCGGAGGCCCAGCTCAGGAGTCGCAGACGGTTCTGGCCAGTGGGAGGACAATGGGCTGTAAAGAGAGGACCCCGATGAGAGGACCCTGGTGATCTAACCAGCGGTTCCAGCCAGAGGACAGAAGAGAGGAGAGGAGGCCCAGGCGACCCTGTTTACCTGGAGAGAAGACAATGGACAGAGGCGGGGCTTGGGGCCAGTGATATCAGATGCCCAGCTGGGAAGCAGGGGCTCTGGGCTGGGGATAGGGGGCAGGCAGAGCCCACCTGGAGGCAGGGGAGACTTGGATGTGCTGTGCTGAGGGAGGCCAGGCCTGAGGCCGAGAGTTTCCTGTGCTGTGTTCAACGCTCAATAACGCCTCCTGTTTTATGCTGGCTGAGAGTCGCTCCGGTCTAGAGAACAAGGTTGCATCAACCCCTTTGGGGGGTGGAGGCCCCAGAGCGAGTGGACTCCCTGAGGGGGCCCACGGTGAGAAACAGGTGTGCTAAGGCTCAGAGAAGTGCGGCTCCAGGAGGTGGAGGGGCCTAACCCCGAGAGAGAGTGGACTCCCGAGAAGGGCTGTCTCACTTAAAGGGGCACCCCCCCACGGACCGCACGGGGCCAAGAGTGGGCACGATCTGTGAGTCTGTGATATAAGGTCAGATCCGGAAGAAGGATTTTGCTTTTAAACTGTGCTAGGCTTTTCAACAAATCCATGGAATCCCTGGCTTTTTTCCCTGCAGTTTTTGGAATAAAGGTTAGCCCTGACATTTCTAACCTGTCACAACATTTTTCTGTCATGCCGCAGAAGTCCTCCTTTGTCTCGGGTTTACGGAGGCACTAGGCATTACGGCAGCAATGCACTGATGAGCCAGAGGCCCAGTCTACACTGAAGTTTTGCTGGATTAGTACATCAGTCAGGGGTGAGATGAGGTGGGATTTGTGACCAACATAGCTATGCTGGCAAGAGCCCTAATGCAGATGCAGTTATATTGGTAAAAGAGTCCGTTTGCTGGGAGAAACTGCATTTCCACCATCATTGGCGTCCACTAAAACTATAATTATGCTGGCAACCTTTTCTAGGGTAGATAAGGCCCAGAACTACAAGAGTGATAGAGAAGCAGAGATCCCATGGCCATTGCTCTGTGGGGCATAAAAATCAACACTCATTCTCAGCTTTTACAAGTATACACACCGTCCCTTTAACGCATTGAAGAGCCTGATGCCATCTGCAGGGCCACAGATCTGGATAACATCTTCCCTGGTTAGCTTCAGTAAGTCTGCACCTGGAATTTAAAACAACAAGGAGCCAATAGATCACCAGTGGGGAAAAGAGAGTAGGAACGGTTCATTTAAAGAAGATGGAGGTAAGTTTCATACAACGCATCACAGCAGAGTTTGCACAGACTACAATACTTCCAGCGATCGATACCTCCTCAGGAGGGAATGCAGCAGGAGCCTATTGAGGCGAGGAGCGAGCAGAGATGGGCTTTCATCACCAACCTGAGAAGTTCGTGAAGAGCCGGGAGAACGTGGAGAAGCGGTTTCGATGCAGCCATTGCTGGGCTTCCTGAGGCGTCGTCGTTGGCAGGAGGTTCTGCGGCACGGGAATAAAATGGTTACTTTTCCTTAGACTAGGTAACACACAAGCCACTTGCATTAAAACATTAGCACAGGTCAGCTAGATTACTACTGTAATATGGCAACACCTAGGACCCCAAGGCATGGATCAGGGCCCTGTACAAACACAGAATGAAGATGGTCCTTATCCCAGAGAGCTTACAATTTCAGTATAACACTAGAGACAGCAGGTGAAATACAGACAGACCGGGGGGGGGGGGGGGGGGAAAAGAGAAGCCAGAAGCACAACAATGAGATAATGCTGGTCAGCACACTTAGAGCAGAGGTCACAGAATGCCAGCTGCTCAACCACTGTCAAAGTTTCTGTATGGCTTCACTGACAGTTTTCACTCTAGATCTTCCTCAATGGCTCCTACTTGGTGAGAGAGGAAGTTATGGGCTTAACTTAGAAGTTACTTAGGGTATGTCTTCACTACCCGCCGGATCGGTGGGCAGTGATTGATCCAGCGGGGATCGATTTATCGTGTCTAGTCTAGACGCGATAAATCGACCCCCGAGCACTCTCCCGTCGACTTCTGTACTCCAGGGCTGCGAGGGGCACAGGCAGAGTCAATGGGGGAGCGGCAGCAGTCGATTCACCACGGTGAAGACACCACGGTAAGTCGATCTAAGTACGTCGACTTCAGCTACTTTATTCACGTAGCTGATGTTGCGTAACTTAGATTGATATTCCCCCCTCTCCCCCTAAGTGTAGACCAGGGGTTAGTGAGCTTCTTTGGCCTGTGTAATAGAGGTGAGACTGGATGATAATGGCCCCTTCTGGCATTAAAATGGTCTGTGAAATTTATTCTCAAGGGAAGCCTGTCCAGCCCAGAGACAGAGGTCTTGTCTACATGGGGAATCATTCTGGAATAGCTATTCCTGATTCACATCACATGTGGATGCTCTTATTCTGGAATCAGAGTGTTTTATTCCAAATTATCTGAAAGTGAATTAAATTAATTTGGAATAAGAGTGTGTCCACAGATGGCGTTAACCAGGAATAGTTAAACCGCTTTAAAGTCATACCCTACCTTATTCCGGATTAACTCTCATGTGTAGACAAGCCCAGAGACCCCATACTGCAGCATACCAGCAAGCTCCTGAACATAGACACCTAGAAACCCACAAACTTCCAACAGTAAATTTAGAAAATAGGATAAACACCATCCTTACCACAAGCATAAGATTTGAGGTGGGACTTACATCTGTGATCGGAGGAGGTGGCTCGGGCTGGTGGTTTGGAGAGCCATTTCTAGATTTTGAGAAAGAAAGAAAAAAAACGTGGTTGGAATCTGCTCTTCCCCACCTCCCAGTCTGATGCCTCTAAAATACACTGACAAAAGGTGTCACATATTCTATTGCGAATCATGATACGCAATGACCGGCACACAGTGTGTTCTAGAAAGTGGGCTCAGAAACCTGTAGGCATGACTGGTTGCAAGTAGCAACGTGACCATGTCAATATCATTGCCAGGGAAATGAAATACCCCGCAGAACAACCAACGGCACTATGAGTGAATTGATATGCCAGGGGAAGGCTGATGGCTGAACACAGACGGAACAGCTACACAAATGCACATTCAGTTCTCATTTCAGGGGCAAAGTTTGCTGTACATGTTAGTGATCAGAATGAGCAACCGTCTAGATCTCCAGGAGCTGCCATTTTTGCTGCCATTAGCGCTTTTTAAATAGGATGCTCTAGCTGCTGGTTCTAAAATGCTAGGAAATCATTTAGGGTAAGGTCACCAGACAATTCAAATGTTTCCATCCCTCAGGGAAGTCAGAAGAGGATGACAGCCAGCCAAGGGGGGAGGGATAGCTCAGTGGTTTGAGCATTGGCCTGCTAAACCCAGGGTTGTGAGTTCAATCCTTGAGGGGGCCATTTAGGGATTTGGGGCAAAAATCTGTCAGGGGATTGGTCCTGCTTTGAGCAGGGGATTGGACTAGATGGCCTCCTGAGGTCCAGGGCCAGCACAACCCATTAGGCGACTTAGGCGGTCGCCTAGGGTGCTACAATTTGGGGGGGCAGCGACTGCGGCAGTATTTTGACAGTGGAACCTTCTGCTGCCTCTGTGTGGGGGGGGCGGCATTTCAGGGCGGGACCTTCCGCCGCCTAGGGCGGCAGAAAAGCTGGCGGCGCTCCTGCTGAGGTCCCTTCCAACCCCGATATTCGATTCTATGATTCAAGCAGTTCTCACTGCCCACACTTACCCCTCACCAATGGAAAAGCTGCTGTGGGAGCTATTAAAGCCAGGAGACGGTGCATTGTTGACATAAGTGATCTCTGGCCACGGAGAACACTAAAAATGAAAACCCAATAGTGAGATCCCCAGGAAAGTCACAGTATTGTTTTCAACTTTTACAAACTGGTTTCTCTAGATTTAGCTTTAAGCTGGCTTCTATGAACTAGGGCAAAATTGTTACCTGCTCCGTTTAATGCAGACTACAGAGTAAACCTGCTTTTGCAGAAAAGTGCTGAAGCGATAGTTTACTGCTGCATTACAATTTACAGGGGTAGTACAGACCCTGTGAAACACTGGACCGTCTTCAAACTATAATAGTCAAAACAGTGAGCTCTTGGATTGGAGTCACATCTCCTGGGCATTGTGTGTGTTTGCTTAATATCCTCCCACTGTGCCAGCTGCAGAGCGTGCACACACATCAAGCAGCCTGTTACTGAATTTAGAAATTGAGGAGTACCCCAGAATTTACTCTAACCAGATCAAATACTCAAACTGTTCTACTTCCCAAGGGATAGTCAGTTTAGCATGGCGGTCCAAAGAATGAGATAGCTGCCTCTCATTGATAGGCTAACAATTCTCACCCTATCTAGCTATTTATCACACCCACCACCTAGCTTAACAGTTTAATGACCCTTCAATTAGGCCTGGCGGTGGAGGAGGTGGAATGACATTGTCACCCCCAACCAAGCTGATTTGCTAAGACACAGATTCCAGTAGCCAAATGCACCTCCAAGATGTCTTACCTCCGTGAGTATTGTGGTCTCATAGGAAGGCTGGTATTTCTCCTTCTCATGAGGAGTTCGCTTCTCCATTTTCTCTCTGTCCGTCTTCTGTTTTCGATCTGCTCCTTTGGGCTGGAAGTGAAACATTTTTGTTAGATCACAAATGCCTGGCATCTTGGAAGGGAGTTAGCCAAATGCAGGAAGAGAGCTAGATTCACACTGGCTGCACAAAGAGACAGAAGGAGACTGGAACAGAATAGAAAAGCTGACAGAGAGCTGGGGAACCTTTCAAGTTATTGAGCTGGGGGACAGATTCCAAACTGCTGCCTTAGGGGAAGGTAGCCCGGCTGGTATGGGCAGAGAATAATGCGCTCTCTGTGACAGATCTTCATATTACTAGCTGTTCTCCCTACTAACCCGATCTGCCCTCCCCCAGGACAGATTTCAAAACATCTGAACTAGAAAGTGAAAAAATCTTTCAGAAAGGAATTAGGCACAGACCAGGATGCCATGCCAATGAGCTCTAACAGGGCAAAGACATGGGTGGGTGTGGCTGCAGATCTGTTCTGGTTTAAGTCTGTTGCAGCATAAGGGAAAGAGCCCTGGATGGTGAATCAGACCACCTATCAGAAGGGTAGCCGTGATAGTCTGAATCTGTAAAAAGCAAGAGAGGGTCCTGTGGCACCTTTAAGACTAACAGAAGTATTGGGAGCATAAGCTTTCGTGGGTAAGAACCTCACTTCTTCAGATGCTGCTACTGGCCTGCTGGGTGACATTGGGCAAGTCACTTCACCGCCCTATACCTCAGTTTCCCCATCTGTAAAATGGGATAATGGAACTGACCTCCTTTGTAAAAAGTGCACTAAGACCTGATGAAAAGCACTAAAGAGCTAAGGATTACGATTTAGGGCTTCACCTATTGCTTTAGGAGACTAGTAAGATTCCCCATTCCCCTTCTACCTCACCTCTGGAGAGATTTAAAGCTAGACTTGCAATTATTATAGAGAATAATTCTGTGGTGGCTCCTTGGCATAGACTAGCTGACAATGATCAGGGAAGGGAGCTGGAGAATTGGGTTCTTCCTGCTAACAGACAGAGTACTTCTTCCAACACTCCAGTATTTCGTAGGGGTGCTGGTATAAGCACAGTATCTGCAGTGAACTGAAAGGGTCACCAAGTTCTTTTGGCTACAAAGCCCTTCCCTGCAACATTTCACAGAGTGTTTCAGTTCATCTCTTTTTCCATGTTTGCTTTAATCCTTCAAATAACTCGTTTTATTGCACCTCCCGCACTTTGTGAAATTCCTTGCTAGATTTTCATCTGCGTAATCAGGTTAGCAGCATGCACGCAAACCCCCACACACCCTTTCACAGCTCAGTGTAAGTTGTTAGACAACATAGCTCAAGCGGTGTGTAAATGAAGGCTGGAATTCCCGTTCAGGATTCTGAAGACACTTTGGAGGTTCTTTAACGTGCTTCCCAGGGCTAAGGCCCTCAGGCCGTTTCTGCATTAGAGAAATTTGTTCTGGCCCAACGACACCAATATAGTTGCACTGAGGCAAACCCCTAATGTAGACTGCAAGAGTAAGCTGCACAGGTGTAAACCCTGCTGCAGGTCTACACAAAGGGCAGGTCTACGCTTAAAAGCACTTAAGTGAAGACGCTCCTACGCCAGCGGGAGAGCTTCTCCCGTCGGCAGAGTTAATCCACCTCCACGAGAGGCGGTAGCTATGTCCCGTCAACATAACGCTCTCTAGACCGGGGGTTATGTTGATAGAAGTATGTTGCTAACCCTGAGCGACATAGTTATACGGATATAAGTCTGTAGTGTAGACCTGGCTGGACGATGTAATTACAATGGTACCAGATTCCTTAACGCAGACATAGCATTAATGGAGTGCCATGCTTTCCCTGCGGATCTGAAATGCAGAGCTGGAGTTTCTTTCCTGCCCAAGTGTTAAGCCTCCAGAACAGCTTCCCCTCCCTGGCTTAGAAACAGCGACGAGAGCAAGGAGGCCCTTTAAAGAGGCCATCAGCTGCTTTGAAACAGAACCTGCGTCCCTGCTCTGCCCCATATTTCAGTCTGGGTCTGTGTCAGGCGTCTCTGCAAAGGTTTGGGAAGACGACCCAAACTCCACACGGGGAAAGACCTGATAAAAGCCCTCACAAGCCACTTTCAAAACACAGCCACACTCATCTTCTACTCCCACTGTCCTACAATCGACATTACCCCTGCGGGTAAGAATGTCCTGAGAATCTCCTGCAGTGAAAGGATCGCACACCAATTTACCCCAGGCACTGATGTTATCTGCAGCCCCAACAGTGCTTGTGCTACAGGTGCAGTGGCTGTATCTAGTGAGCAGATCAACCTGATTCCATGTAGTCAGGAATCCCTGCCAAGCTCTCAACCACTGGTGGAGTTCAAAAGAGTCTCCTGTGATCTCAGTCACCCATCAGCTCTTGAGAGGGAAGGGTTATTTACACTTCAAAGTGGGAGCAGCTACTTCCACCAGCAACCCAAACAGAGCATATAAAGATTGCTTGTAGGATAAACAGCTAGAAGTTCTGCTGCAGAGTAGCAGCTTTTCACGCAGGCAGTAAGAGTGCGTGCATCAAGTGCATGAAGATCACGAATCATTGTGACTCTAGATGGAGATGCCCCCAGACCTACCTACCAGCCAACCCTTCTGCAAAGGGTTTATGCCTCTGTCCTAACATGTACCGGCTTGAAGCCTGGTAAGCAGGACTTTACTTCTGAATAGCTGAGTGGTTCTTCCTCTGGTTTCAAAGGGAATTTGGTATTTTTTGCATCGGTTACCATGTTTCCCGGTGTTAGAAACAGAAGCTGTGCAGAAGTTCAGAGTCAACAGCTTTGCAATCCTGCTCTTGAGAGCGAGCTGGCCTATAGGCTGTCATATCACAGCTCAGGATGCTAGGGGTTACATTTACTTTATTTGTACTAAAGTAGCACCCAGAAGACCCAACAGAGATCAAGGTCCCATTGTGCTGGGCGTTGTACCAAAGCAGAGGCCACGTCTATACGTATAGTGCCTGCGTGTGGTGAAGACGTGCTATGCCGCTGGGAGGGAGCTGTCCAGTCAGCATTAAAAAAAAACCACCTCCGTGAGTGGCATAAGCTATATGCTTATGAGCGTCTCTCGCTGACATAGCGTTGTGCACACCAAAGCTTATGTTGGTGTAACGTATGTTGCTCAGGAGGTTGGAATATTCACACCGCTGAGAGACTTTTGCCAACACAGGCTGTAGTGTAGCCTAAGAAGCAGGCCCTGCCCTGAAGAGCTCACAATCTAAACAGACAAGAGGTAGGAGGAGAAACAAGCACAGAGAGGAGAAGTGACTTACTCAAAGGCACACAGCAAGTTAGTGGCAGGGTTGGGCCCAGAACCTCTGTTCTCCTGTCTTTGGTGCAACACCCTAGCCACTAGACCAAGCTATTCTGACAGCTCTCTGGGCTGGGCTTCCCTTTGGAGCTGGAGAGGAGCCAGGGAAGTTGTCCGGGGTTTTACATTATTATGGGGGAGTGAAGATTCGCTAAGACGGTGTCACGTGTCCCAAACATCCTGGGGGTGCCATAGGCCATCTATTCCAGACCCAAGCAGTTCTGCTGGCCAGCAGCCTTTCCTCTAGGGCTATCCCTAGGCTCTGATGTTTTACCTACTCCTCTTACCATCACCCACAAAAGCTAAGGACAGATCAGATCGTCACACCCAGGGCTTCTGTTGACATTAAGCCTCTGATCCGATCCTTAACTCGTATTACATTCACACATGTCATTCATGCCTGCACTAACCCAGGGGCTAGAGAGGGACTAGATTTAGGACCTTTTTTTATTTTAAAAGCACCTATCCCACAATAACTAGAAGCTAAAACAGAGAAAACTGCCCAAGGCCAAGATATGGAGCCCTAGGAGAGCACAGGCAAAATCCACCTGGATGACATTACGTTACTCCCAGCCTATGAGTTTTGCTGCCTATATAAAAGGTACACCTCTACCCCCTTAGAACGCTGTCCTCAGGAGCCAAAAGATCTTACCGCGTTATAGGTGAAACCGCGTTATATCGAACTTGCTTTGATCCGCCGGAGTGCGCAGCCCCCCCGGAGCAATGCTTTACCGCGTTATATCCGAATTCGTGTTATATCGGGTCGCGTTATATCAGGGTAGAGGTGTATTTATAGAGTGCCAGTCATGACAGGCAAGGAGCTACTTCTGTGGCATACAAAGGCAAGGCCCTGTCCCTGCAGTTCATTGAGGCAGCAGAGTCAGTTGGGGTCTGCTCCCCGATTGTTTCACGTGGGGGGCGTTTGTGTCTGGTTCTAGTTCTTTAGCAGGATGTGCCCACAGCGCACATGGTACCTTGAAGACTTTAATCTGGCAGCTGGCAGAATGCAAGTGCTCAGTGTACTCCCCATTCTCATTCTCTTTAAAGGTGTCGATCTGGACTCGGAAGGGCACTCCCTTTTCGCCGCCATGTTTCCTCATGGTGAACTCCGTGCTGATACAGTGCACCTGAAAAGAGTCACCCAAGGAGGGGCATCATTAGTAGAGCTCTAACTTTGCGGAACAAGAACATGCCCGGTTAACATTCAAGGCAAAATGTTGCCCCTGAAGTCTCACACTCAGCTGGACACGTGCTCCTGGGCACCATCCCAGTGAGATGCGTGCACTGCAGGGCTGAGGTGGAAATGCATCGGATAGCATGAACATTAAGGAATTAAAGAGACACCAGCAGAAGTGTGTGTGTGTGTGGGGGGGGGGGGGGGGTGTAATTCACTTTCTGCCTACAAGATTTCCAACCTACTATTGTTACAAATGACGCCCCAAGATCATTAAAACAAAGCAGTTTGCAAACCCCACCCACACTTTTTCCAGTTTATTCCTTCTAGGCCCAAAGGACCAGATTTTCAAAGATATTTAGGCACCCAGTGGGATTTTCAAAGTGGCTAAGCAAGTTAAGTATCAAAGGGGTAGCCGTGTTTGCTGCTTTTACAGATGCAGACTAAGAGTCCTGTGGCACCTTATAGACTAACAGACGTATACGTCTGTTAGTCTATAAGGTGCCACAGGACTCTTTGCTGCCTAAGCAAGTTAGGCACTCGAGTCCTATCAATTTCAATAGGAATTAGGCAACTAGCTAGCTTAAGTGCTTTCAAAAGTCCCACTAGGTGCCTAAATACCCTTGACAAATTGGCCCAAATGCACGGGTCATTTCACTGTTTTATAGCTAGTCAGAGGCACTTCCTATTTCATACGGTAACAAGACAATGCCACCCTCACGCATTGCTCTAGGGGGAGCTCTTGTGCAGATCCTTCCCCAGCCCCTGTAAAACCCCGCTGGCTGCTGTTTCTGAGGCCTGGTCTACACTGGGGGGGGGGGGGGGGGGGGGGGGGGGGGAGGAAATTGCTGAAGTCGATGCATCTTAGATTGACTTAAAATCACTTATTTGTGTCCTCACGGCACGGGATCAACGGCTGCCGCTCCCCTGTCGACTCTGCTTCCGCCTCTCGCCGTGGTGGAGTTCCGGAGTCGACGGCAGAGCGATCGGGGACGCGATAAATCGATCCCCGATAGATCGATCACTACCCGCCGATCCGGGTACCCTGAGTATTGACCCAGGAAAGAGCCCCTTTTCCTAGGACAGCTTCTCCCCTTTCCCTGGGTTGCCGGATGTTCCCAGGAACTCCTGTCTTACCTGGATGAACACTGAAGTCCTCTTTGAAGGATCCCAGAGAAACTCCACTGTATTTAGCTGTGTTGGATTTGCCCTGGGGTCAATTATACCCACAGACATCGGGATATCTGTGGAAGCAGAAGACACACTTGGAGGGCAAGCACGAGGTAAAAAGTGGGGGAGGGATAGCTCAGTGGTTTGAGCACTGGCCTGCTAAACCCAGGATTGTGAGTTCAATCCTTGAGGGGGCCACTTAGGGATCTGGGGCAAAAATCAGTACTTGGTCCTGCTAGTGAAGGCAGGGGGCTGGACTCGATGACACTTCAGGGTCCCTTCCAGTTCTATGAGATAGGTATATCGCCATATATTTTATAAAGTGTCCCTGACCTCTGGATATACGAGCACAGGTACAGTGACAGAGGCATCGTCTCTATTTCACCTGCCCTGCAGGAACCAGAGTGGAGTGAATTTCTTGAGGCAGTTCAGCGTGCAAGAAATCAAGGGACCGAGGAGGTTGGCCAGAGCTCCACATAGTTCAGGCAGATGCTGTGCAAGCTTCCCCACTTCCTGCCTCCTAGACTGCCATGTAGTGGTGGCAAGGGAGACAGAGAGCAATATGGAGGCCACAGCTAGGTGAAGATGTGTCTTACAGTAGTGTGAAGGCTTCTGTTGCCCAGGGGACATGGAACAAGGGATACTGAATGTTTTTACACCCTTTAATATCTACAATGATGAGTTAGTCGCTTTTTTCCCCGGAAGGGCTAAGGGCAGGGAGGTCGTATTCAAAACAGAACTGCCAGCTAAAGTCATGAGTCAGTACTAAACGCAATCATTTACCCTCTATTTTATGAGCAGCAAAGCATTATTATTCCCTCTTCTTGCCTATAAAAATAATTCTTGGGTTACCTGAGAGCACAGAAGCTGTTTGGATCAATGGGAATTGCATCAGTTAAGACAAACTACATGCAAATCTGTTCTCCATGCCCTATCCAGGCTACTGCAGACACTCACCTATATCCAATATCCTGTCCCCAGGCCTGTTCCACCTCCAGCCCTCAAGCTGCTGATGCTCCGTATATTGCAGCCGCCGGTCATGAAACACCACTCGAAATATACTCTAGAGGGAACAATCATAGAATATCAGGGTTGGAAGGGACCTCAGGAGGTCATCTAGTCCAACCCCCAGCTCAAAGCACCGTGTGTCCGGTCCTGCAACCATCACTAAGCAGTTCAACATCCCTCAGGCAGTGGGGGTTTCCCTGCGTCACCAGCTCAGTGAAAGAGCAGGGAGGGAGAATATGGGAGACCTAGAGCCATCCACAGAAACTGAAGGGGCAAAACAAAGAGTTAAACTAGGCCCTGTGGAGTGATTGACAAGCCGCCAAGTCAGCATTTCCTCTTATCCCAGCTCTTCCCTATCAGGGTGCTTGTGGGGAATGGTCCAAAGATCCATCCAAAGATGGAATGATGTGAAGCATTAGCTGTGGGGAAAAGGGGGTACTGTTGCACAATGCAAAGTTCTCCTTCACCTCTATACCCCTCAGGAGGGGTGTGTAACCGCCACACTTTCTTTTCTTGGCACTAGACTGTTGTATCTTAGCCTGGGCCTGAGATCCTCAAGCATTAACAGCAGATTCTCTGCCAAGGGGGCAGTGGAGTCTAGCTGGCTCGATTTTCCATAGGGCCTTTGGTTCTGGTGAAGCCCTGGGGAGACCAGCTAAGCCCACACCTGCTGGGGAGCACCTTGTGCAGGTTGGTGGCATTGAGTGCCTGAAAGCACCTATTAATCCCTATGCCCAGAGGACCTTTCCGTGCAGACTGCCTGATGTTCTGCTGTGCTGGCAGGGCGCCCTGTGTGAGGATGGCTGTATAAAAAGGACAATCGCATTCTCGCTCACTTACCTTTACCAGTTTCCCATTTATCTCAGGCAGCTCCCCGATTTTCCTGTTATCCAGCATCCGGATCTCATACGACTGACCTAGGGAAGAGGCCTAACGACTGTTAGCTGCACATGGGTTTTGCTCTTCTTTGGCATTTAATTTGCCATCTAATACAAGAGCGACAGAAGTGGCGAGAAGTGTAAGTGATATGCTGATCAGGGAGTGGATGAACACTGGCCAAGGGAGAGGGACCTGTTGAGATGTTAGCTCCTGTCCTTCCTTGTGAACCAAGATGGAGCTTTTTAGGAATTGCCCAACTAACAAAGCTCATCTACTTGCAAACTAAGAATATGAGAAGAAACCCATTACATGTTGGCTTAATTGGGTTACCGGCAGCTATCCTGGTCTTTCCAAAATCCCACCTATGGAGGTGACTGAAATTTATAGACTCAGACTGTAAGGTCAGAAGGGACCATCATGATCACCTGGTCTGACCACCTGCGCATTGCAGGCCACAGAACCTCACTCACTCCTCCAAGAGAATACACGCGCTAAAGAATTTCCTAGTGTATGCCCAATAATATGCTTGCTCTAACTTACTTCCTCTTACAGCCAGTCACAAGAACATGTGCTGGCAGCCAGGTGAGCAAAGTCCTAGTAAGGAGAAAGGGGTATGCTCCTGAGGTAGGAAGTAGGATCAGGAGATGCATTTGTAGCACAATCTGCTTTAGGCTACGAAGATTGTCTATAATGCCTGTAAGATGTAGTGTACCTGTTGCTATAGACACTAACCGGTCCTATGCTAGCCTTGGTGTAAGAACTGCAAAGGTTAGCAGTAGGTTCTCTGCCAATCAGGCTGTGGGGTTTAGATGGCTCCATTTTCCTTAGGACTTTTGGTTCTGGTGGAACCTTGGGGAAAACCAGCTAACCCCACACCTGCTGGGGTAGAGCGAAATGAGGTGAAAAGGCTGGGAGCCTCGAAGGAGCTTGGGTTTTAGTACAAAGATGATTTACATTTGAAGGGTAAACCTTCAAATAAATCTATGTGACCCATGTAGCTGTCCTCCAGCAGCACAGAAAAGCCTCACCTTGATTGAGATAGGTGAGTGTTTCGTCATGGAGTTTCACGGCAGGGGATGTGGCTGCACACAGAACGTATTGAAAAGGCAGGATCTTGTTTTCGTTGTCGGGAGGCAAACTTGATTCTTCCTGTTTGAATATGGGCAGGGCTAGAACATCACTGCAACAGAGATTTGTCAATCAGGTTGGTTTCGACTCCGACTGCACAGAGATGTCAGTTTAATATTTCACTCCTCATGCCCCCCCCCCTCCAATCTAACACCCATCTTCAGGCTGCACAAAAAGGGCCTAAAGCAAGCAATTCCGAACAGCACCCAAAGACTGATTCTTGCAAGATTTTTTTATCATCCTCCCTGCACTTCTAAATACGATCATTCCCTGCTTCAAACATCATCAGTTTGTGGCTTAAACGCAGAGACATCCTCCTTAACAGCAGGCCTATTTTACTACCTTTATACCCCATGGCACACAAGCAACATTGCAGTGCATAATCTCCAAGTTGGGAAGATGAGTAAGTGAACAAAGACATTAATGTCATACTGCAAAATGATCAATCACCCCCCTTGACCCTCTGAGCCATAGGTAACCACCTCCAAATCCGCAACATCCACCCCCAAGCAGCTATCCACAGCCCAAACTGGGTCTCCAATTGCACCAGCTTCCAGTGACTGGTTTGTTTTATAAGCCATGGTGCAACTAATTTGGTAACACTGAGCTTGCATGAGCTTTGAGGAAGCAATCACTGGTAATGCCTCAGCATGCTGCTCCTTGAAAGGTCACTTTGTGCTGACCCCTGTTTAAAACAAGAACTATGTACATATATATACACACACACACACATGTATATCAGGTTGGGCTGATTTAAATCACAGATTCCAATCATGATTCAAAATCAGCAACCAGGAAACCTTGATTTAAACCCATTTTAATCTTGTTTTGCATTTGTACTTTTTAATAATAACTTTCCTAAAGACAAACTGATTCTCATTGGTTGGTAACCATTACACTGTATTGATTTGCAACTAAATATAGCCTTCACGCTATATTTGGTACTTTTTGCTAGCCAGAAAAATAACAGTCTATACACATTTATTAAGCACCTGTGTAGCGTAACATACCTTTAATTTAAATTTTGAAGTTTTTACATATTTATTGCATTAGAAAACTGTGAATGGTGCATTTCTAATTTACCAGATGATTAGTGTCTAACTGCATTTAAATGGAAATTAAAATTTTGTTTTGGAGCATTTTTAACTGAATTCTAAACTTGTTTTTATTAATTAAATAAGACTACTTTAAATGTGCTGGATAGGCAAGAAAACGTTTTATCAAAATATGTTTTGCATTTAAAACAAACTGATTTATTAAACAAAATAAGCATTATCTGTAGTTAGTGAACTGAATTGTTTCCAATCACTATGTCTTTTAAGATCTTAGAACTAGTAGATCTCATCCTTTCACATCTTGTTTCTATTCATAGATTGGAAGAGGAAAACAAGTTTCCCTGTTTTTTCAACTCCCAGTTGGCTTCTCAACCAAAAATAAACTAGTCATTGAACTGAACTAGCTGAATAATCTGAAGGGAAGAAAATACTCTCTCTGTACCTGCAGAAGAGGCCACTGCTGCCTACAGCTGGTTTAGCACTCAAACTGCCACCAGGTCAGTGAAACTTCAAAACTTCAGCACCAAACACGTACTGCTTGAATATAATTTGAATAATTAATAGATTGCAGTAAATTTAAGGCTTGAATACAGCTTGCCAATTTCAATTTTAAATAGGTTTACTTTTAAAAAGAAAAAAGTGTATTTAAACTTTAAAAAGATTTTTTTTTATCCATCCTGATTTTTTATTTTAAAACATATAGCATGCATGCAAAAGGCACGTCCTATGGCAAACCATTAACCTTCAAGGAAGTGACCTACGTCATAGCTCCAGCATCAACTTTGCCCTTCCATTAGCTCAAAAAGTTAGATAAATTCTTGCTTCTATGTTCAGCTCTGTGCATACTGATAGCTGTCTCCATCTGACAGGGGTGGGAGGGATGGGAGAGGCAGGGATGATTCACCTTGCCTTTCCCTCAGGGCCCGGCTTCTGATCCCTCTCTGCCCCCTGGGCTGCTGACACCTAACCTGTCCCTCATTGGGAGACCCGAGTAAAGTCAATCCCTTTCAAATTCAGACCCATCACTGCTATGTTCAAACAACGGAACAGCCAACAAGAGCTATGGTAACATGAATACAACCCCTAGAATGTGCTCCTTGGAGCAGGGACCACGCCTTCGTCTGGGTTTGTGCAGCGCCTAGCACAAGGCCTCAATCTACATCTACTGGGAGCGCTAAACAATGGGGGGAGGGATAGCTCAATGGTTTGAGCATTGGCCTGCTAAACCCAGCGTTGTGAGTTCAATCCTTGAGGGGGCCACTTAGGGATCTAGGGCAAAATCAGTACTTGGTCCTGCTAGTGAAGGCAGGGGGCTGGACTCAATGACCTTTCAGGGTCCCTTCCTTCCAGTTCTATGAGATAGGTAAATGCTATCACCAACCCATCTTCGCCAACTAACCAGTGAATGGTACCATCATGCTTTTGGGAGCTTTGGGCATTTTGCAGAGTCCTGCGCAGATATAAACAAGATCTCTGCAGATTTGCAGGGCTCTAGGCATTTGAACTCCTACACCCAGGTAAGCAAGCATGTCCAGGAGTCACCAGAAGAGAAAATTCTCCCACCGAGCTGCCATGGAGATGGAGCAGCTTCTATGGAATCGATGATGGCAACCCAACCAGATATCCCTTCTGGACAGATAATGGGCAGATTTTTCACAGTGACGATAATCAAACTTTGGAACAAATTACCAAGGGTTGTGGTGGATTCTCCATCACAAGAAATTTAAAAAAAATCAAGAATTGATGTTTTTTTCTGAGAGAGATGCTTTGGTTCAAGCACAGCTATTGAACCTGAAGCAGGAATTAATTTACAGAGAAGGCCTGTGGTGGTTTGTGTTACACAGGTGGCCAGACTAGACCAACACAACGGTTCCTTTTGACCTTAAAACAAAACAAAAACAAGCCTGCAGCACCTTCCATTAGCTGTGACATTTCTCGGCACCCTTAACTCCAGTAGAGAAGATTTAAACTCCTATTAGTAGAAATTACGAGTAAATCATTATTAGATCATCTATTTCTACACCTCGGTTGTCATTGGCTGTTTACAAATGTGGTTTGCCTCAGATGCCACTGCGAGGGGATGGGTCATTGGAGGGTCTAAAGCAACATGCTCTAGTGACCTTTTCCAACAGTCCCACAACATACCATGATCTGGGTACACACTGACTTGTCAGATTTACAATAAGCCAGGGATGGAATGGAAGGCACTGGGTCGCGGCGGCTCTGGTCAGCACCGCCAACTGGGCCATTAAAAGTCCCATCGGCAGTGCTGCCCGGCTAACGCAGGCTAGTCCTTACCTGTTCTGACACCGCGCTGCGCCCTGGAAGTGGCCAGCAGCAGGTCCGGATCCTGGGGGGGAGGGGGGGGAGAGGAGGCACGGGGCTCTGCGCGTTGCCCCCGCCCCAAACACTGGCTCCACATGGCCAATGGGAGCTGGGGGGGAGGGAGGAGAACCTCTGCCTAGGAGATGGACCTGCTGCTGTCCACGGTGCCAGGACAGGCAGGAAACCTGCCTTAGCACCCCTGCTGTGTCACTGACTGGGAGTCGCCCGAGGTAAGCCTGCACCCCAATCCCCTGCCCCAGCCCTGCACCCCCCCCAAACCCAGAGCTGCCTCCTGCACCCCAAACCCCTCATCCCCAGCCCCACCCCAGAGCCTGCATCCCCAGCCTAGAGCCCTGCCCCCCTCCCACACTCCAACCCCCTGCCCCAACCCAGAGCCCCCTCCCACACCTTGAACCCCTCATTCCCGGCCCCAACCTGCAGCCCTCACCCCAACCCTCTGCCCCAGCCCTGAGCTCCTCCCACCCCCTAAACCCTTCATCCCCAGCTCCGTTGGATCGCAGGCATCAACAATTTTCTTCAACTGGGTCACCAGAAAAAAAGTTTGAAAACCACTGCCCTAAGGTCTTGTCGGCACACAAAAGGTGTATGTATCACTTTAACTGCAGCAGCATATGTGCCCCTAGCAGAGATGCAGTTATACTATGCTATCAAAGTGCTGGTAAACTGGTATAGCTTACTCCCTTTCCCATATGGGAAATTATCATCAGTGGGGGGGGAGGGTAAGAGGGAAAGGGGAATACACCCTTAATGGAAAGAGTTCTACCACTACAAAAAACTGGTGTGTAAACCAGGCTTTAAGCACTTCTAGAAAATCCCAGCTGACGTCTCTAAAAGTCCCTCAGACTTCATCAGCTGTCAATAGCACCGACAGGAAGGATGCTCTGGAGACCAGTGTTCAGAATTTGATACAGCGCTCGGCTGGAGAAGCCTGACAATTCTTTACAAAACCCGTGGCTGTTACTGACGCACACACACAAATCACGATGCCTTCGAGGTGGATAGCGCTGAAGTGCAGCTATAATAGTGGAACTTTTTTTTTTTTTTTTAAATGAAAAGACGCTTCCCCCTTCAGTCCAGTTCTGCCACTCAAGCCCTCCGCCAAACACCAGCTGCCCACCATGCCATACACTAGTATCTCCAGGAATAGCACCTTACAGAGGAGATACTGCAATCAAGGCAGCAGCTGCTCAAAGCCTGGTCTATATGGACTAGTCAACTAGCATAGCGGTTGCAGAATAAACTGTTCTGGAATAGTACCAAGTGGGGAATACTTTATTCTGGCGCGCAAAAAAAAAAAAAAAAAAGTCAGGCATTCCAGAATAGCTCTTCCAGAAAGTTTCCTTGCATAGGCAGGGCTTAAGAAAGAATGTTCTATGGGTCAGAAGAAGTCAAGTCTTACCAAACAATGAAAAAAGCAGATCTCTTCTCACAAGACAGGGCAGTAGTGTTGCATAAACAGACAAACCCCTCACACCTAGCACTGGATGAGACAAGGGAATTTCAACTAGCTAGATTAGCAAAGTAACCAGAAACTACTTTGCCCCAAGGGGAAGATTGGATGGAATGTGAGGCCCTAGTCAGACTAAGGTCACCGATACCATTACAAACATAGGGGGGAAAAAAACAGTCTAGACAGTTCAGAGCACACACA